AAAGCAGATTGTGTGACACAAAAATAAATTAAATTTACCCGTTAGCGATAGTGGATAAAATTACGGAAACACTTCTATATTGATACATTTTTCATATTCCTCCAGAAATACTTAAGGAAATATTTTATGACGTCAGAAGGATTCAGATCATGATATTTTTCATACATATCATTGAAATTTAAAGCTTTTGGAGGTTTGAGGGACCAGCAGTAGACAAACGGAAAATAATGTTTTTGAACACCCTATGGCCATAAAATTTAACAATATATTAGTAACTTGTGACAGTTATTTTGGTTAATTATATACAATAATTACAAAAAATTTCTTAAGCCTAGAAGCTATGAAAAACTACTTTTTTTGGTCTGATGTTTTTTTTTTGCCATAACTTTAAAAAAAATTAAAAAAAATTTCTAGAACAATTTAAAATTAATTGCAAAATTTTTGCTTTAAAATTTGAGAAAAATTCAACTAAATCTGCGCAAGATATGAGTAATTAAACCAATTATACTCCGCGTGATCTGGAAGAAATATTATTATTAAAATTTGTAATGAATCATGTTTATGCAACTATTAATTAAACTCGGTTTGATTATCTTAAAAATTTTAGAAGTGTCAAGCAATTTTCAAATTAGTTTTCGTACTTTTTCAGAGAAAGCTTAAAATTATAAGGGATTTTCTACAGATATTATTTTGTATCATAGGACAGAATTTAGTAACAAATGATAACACCTTACAATAAATGCTCATACACTAAAATGTGATTTAATAAGGAAGGAAAATAGGTAAAAAAAGATACTTTTATTGGGGAGGATCTCTAACGTGTCATTTTTAATAAATCTTGTTTAGAAATGCAAAATGAAATATGAGGAAAACCCCTCATCATTTCAAAAAATTGCTTGAAACGTTTTAAATCTTTAAGTTATTCAATTTGGACTCTTTTTTATTAGTTGCCAAATACGATTTACTGCAAAATTAAGATTTAAAATTTTTTTCTCGCTAATGAGCAGTATAAAAGATCTAATTACTTATATCTTGCGCAGTTTTGAAGAAAAGTTTTATAATTATTTTAAAATATTCTAAAAATTTCGTTCAACATAAAAACGTAAAACAAAAAACGTAGTTTCTTTTTATAAAAATGTTCATATCTCTAAAATATTTACGAAATTTTGTGTACTTATTGCATATATTGTGTACTTATATGCTAATCAAATTAACAGTCACAAGTTACAAATCAATCACTAAATTTTTTGGCATACGGTGTTCAAAAGCACTATTTTCCGTTTGTAATTTATTGTCGGTCCCTACAGCTTCTAAAAGCTGTAAACTTCTTCTATATTTATGAGAAATCGCATGATCTAAAAACTTCTGAAATTATAAATTATTTCGTTGAGTATATCTGGAGAAATATGAAATGTATTGGTACAGAAGTGTTTCCATTATTTTAATCGCCCCCTGTGTGATGATAACCTTATGTCATTGTACCAATTCAAAAATACTCTTAAGTTCATGAATAAAAATGGCTTTTTCAGCACGTCGAATTTCAACTCTTTAGTGGTACTCGTTGCTTGTTGCAAAGTGTCCACAGGATATTTTTTACAACAAATTCTAAAGTTAAAAATTGGATAATCCTGATTGATTGCTGAAATGTGGTATTTTTTATATTAACAACTGTTCTTTCTCTTCTATTTAGAGTAAACCAAGCCAATGAAAAATCAATTCTTAAATGACACATTCCACATTCTTTCACAATGATCCAGTCACAAATATTTCAATTGTTTCACTATATATTTCTTAACACAAAAACAGGCACGAAGCCATGCAAAACATAAACAAATTTATTATGTATTGAAGTTCTCAATTACACAGAACAAAAATATATCAAGGGTGCAATAAAATATATAATCAAATAGTAAATCCAAGTTAGGAAAAGATGTAGACGAGAAGGAATTATATTTCAGCAATTGGATATAATATAAAAAAAACACAATTACTTCCACTTAGTAGGAATAACATTTACCATGACGCAATGCTAAATTCTATGCCACTATCCACATAAATGCCACTATCCACATAAATCAATTATTAATCAAAAATCGAATATCAATTACTTTTCTTTATAATGCAATAAAATCTGGCGAGCAGCTATTTAAACGATCAAACACTTCGTTTGTTTATTTGTGGCTTGAAGTTAGGCTCGCAGAAAATGCCGTTCATGGGTTAAATTTAGTAGGAATAACACAACCTGTGACGTAGGCTATAGTATACCCAATTTCGATGTGCGATACGGCGTGGTATTTAATTCATTTCACGTGAATCAACATTCTAACTTATATGGAGAAATTTAGCTCACCTTTAACACGCCATCTTGCTTATAAGCGATCATCTAGAGCTGACGTCATAATTCACGTGTGTGGGTATCTGCGATCTTCTTTTTGAAGTGACCCAATTCCTGAAATAATAATCGAATATTAATTATTGTTTTGCATTTTACCCTCTTTATATCTTTCTTCGCTAAATCTTAATAACAGTAATTGATAAAGTTTACACCAATCTGCAGTTCGTTACCGAAGAAGGTTGTGTTTTTCGATGATCCATACATTTGGCGAATAATTACTGCATGTTGAAATTATTTAAATAAATTATTATGTGAAATGATGGTTGGGCGTGTTTTAAAAGTCTAACAAATGCTTTTGCATCATTATTAGAAGTTTAAAAGATAGTGACAAGGTTGCAAAATATTTACATGAAAAGTGCACTGGTGAAATGAATTAATTGACATGCTCTCTTCTTTTTGAATTAATTGACAAGCTGTTCATAGCCTAACTCAGTTTTTTTTTGTTATCCTAAGACGTACCAAAAAAATTGGTTTAGCTGAAGTTGCCTTTGAGGACATGGCAAAAATCTCCGTAGTTAGAGATATTTCATGGGGTAAGGAACTTAAATTATTATTTTTAATTATTATACATTTAAATTAATTATTATACATTTATATATTTGCATGTATATCAAAAATATCTATAATATTTCTCGATAGCTTGTATTGAAGATGGTGCACTCCGCCAACATAATAATTTTACTGAATATTTTTGACACTTTTTTTCAACACTATTTTAACTGATTTACTTTTTGAAATATCGTTATTTCTATTTTGATAACATTTTACAGGACAAAATATTATTATTATTATTTACTTTTATTTATTTATTATTATTTATTATTATTTACTATTTTAAGAAAAATATTTCAACTGAAAAGAGGTCATTATGCCGTTTGAATTAACTTTACATTTATATATATACTAGCCGCCTAAGGCGGCCAGCTGTCCGCCACGCTAAAGGTTTTCACAAATAAAGTTTTTTAAAACATAGCAGGAAATCTGAAGATTAGTGGACAATTAAAGTGTTCCTGTCCTGCAATTTTGTCTTCATATCCAGTTCTGCTGCAGATGTGTTATAGCTCTTGAGGATGTTGAAGATTTAACTTTGCTATGGTAACCTAACCTATGATATAACTATCAGGTGGAGACTTTTTTTTTTTTTAAAGGCTTCAGAAATTGTAAAGTCATACAAAAGTTGCTTTCGAATTTCTATTTCTATATAATTTTTTATGGTATCAATTTCTATTTCGCTACAAAAATTATCGTCTTTGCTTAAGAAAAAAAATAGAGCGTGGAAAGAAGAAGAAAAACTTATTATAACAATTATGAACAGCGACAAATATATCAAAGCGAAGCGTTCTATTTACGTATCGAATATGTTGCCACATTTTTAATACAAAAGTTAAACTTTTCTCCACTTTAATAAATGTAAACTAATGCGAACTTTACAANCTTCTCTAATAAAAAGAGATACCATTTTGTTTTCGTTTGCATAAGAAAGAATATCAAGCATTTTTCTTTTTTAAATTTAATTAGCCACAATAAAGAAGGAACGTTGCAATGCTACGTGCTACATTAACGACGTCTCTAGAGTAACTGAATGACTGTTCATATAGAAATCGCAGGTATTAGTCTCATACAACAACGCCCCCTATAGTTCGTTGCGATCGCGAATAGTTTTTTGAATATGGCTCTTTAAAGACGTAAAAACCATAGATTTTCTTTCAAAATGACTGATAACTAAAAAACTAATCCAAATTTTTGAAAAAGAAAAAAAATAGTTCTTCATTATGTCAAAAGACAATTATGTGCCGAGTTTCGTGCCTGGGCGAGGCTTCTGGGACGATATATTGTGATTACAGACACACACAGCCGCGTTTATTATTATGTATAGATATATATTTCACTCATTTTTTTAATTGTGATTGTAAAAATTAGCCTGAATCACAAATTTTTCAAGGAATTGGCTTTTTTTTAAAGAAAATCATTTCAATTATATATTTTTATTTTTAATTTTTGCTGTTGTTAAATTATTTAAGTTGTAAATATGCTCGATGGGGCGTAGGGCATATTAACAGAGATCTGTTCTATGGGGCGTAGCGCATATCAACCGGTTATCAGACAGAGTTAAAATGTAGATAGTTAGGTCCACCGCATCTTCGAATGTGCGTATAGCAAATTTGGGGTGGATTGGTTCAGGTGCAGATTTGTATAAGGTTCATACACACATACTTATTGCCTCTAAACTCTCCGTTTGGTAAATTATTAAGAAAAACAATTTAAGCATTAATTTAAAAGTAATAACACATACATTTTGATTAAATAAATAGTTTAAATATAAACTCGCACAAGCCGCCGAAAAATTTAAAATGAAACGGAATAACTTACAACAATATTTTTGCAACTTGGAGATAAATAATTCACTTTATACTTATTAACGTTGTATTTATCTATTTGACATTCATAAATCGTTGATTCAATTAGTGTTTCTTTTTTATAAAGGATACTAGCTTTTACTTTGGAAGAATGCAGTAATATGATTAAATTGATCATATTTTGCATTACTTACGTTTGTTAGCTCTAGATTTATTTCTCACTCTTAATGATCCCCACATTTTATCACTTATTTTTTCTTTCCCTTTTAGAAACACTTTAATTTCTTTCTCAAACGCAACAAAGATGGAAGGTAAAAGTTATCTGGGTGTAGTTGATTACATTGTGATATGCATTTCATTACTGATTTCAGTAGGTATTGGACTTTTATCGAAATTCAAAGGAAGTAAGAAAATGACAGCAACAGAATACATTCTGGCCGGTAGGAATATGGCGAGAATTCCAGTTATTCTATCAGTAGTAGTGACTTTCCTTTCACCCTCTTGTATACTTTCCGGACCAGCGGAAGTATACAGATACGGTTTCCAATTTGCTATAGCACCTCTGATGATGCCTATTGGAATGGTTTTGGCATCATGGGTTTTTATACCAGTATATTTCCAGTGTGGAGTATCAACAGTTCACGAGGTAAATGTTATTTTTTTGTTTTAATATTTGCTTATATGTGGGTAAGAATTATTCATTAAATTTACCAGTATTCGATTGAATATGATTATTTCTTTTGTACTTAAGATTGCAAAAAAATAATCTTAACTTTAATTTTTTTCAAGAAATTTAAAATTATAATTAATATTTTGATATCTATTGTATGAAAAATGATAAACTTTTAAAATATGAAATCATATTTTTAGCAACTCGTTAATGTGATTTTTCTAAATTCAAAGTTTATACTAGTTTATCTTCTTATATACCTAAACTATATTATATTCTCTCTTTAAAATAAATTTAAAATTATCAATCTGAAATCTTCAAAATTTTCATTTTAATTAAGAATTGGAGTCTTTATTTTTTTAAATGTTTCTTAGCGTATAAAACATCTCTTTTGGACTTAGATACAATATCTTTTACTAAAATGAGACACCTAAAAGATTTTTGAGAGTAAGTTTTTTTTTTCTTTCCAAAATTAATTTTTAAGTTATGCAGAATATGAAAACTGTTTTAAACTAAAATAAAACTAACTGTAATATGTTTTGTTTCTAAATATAGCTTCAATTATGAAAATCTTTTCAGTTTTTGGAAATGAGATTCGGAAGCAAGACAAGATATATTATATCAGCCTTCTTCGTCGTACAAATGGTGAATAATAAATTTTTGCCTCTTAACCTCTCACACTATTTCACTTTAGTTATTAATGTTGCAGCAACATTATTATAATCTTCCATACATATTTTTTAATGAGATGTTTATTTTTAGATATTCCTTATCGTTTTGAATCTTTATGGAGCAGTTTTAGCTTTTAGCGCTGTAACAGACTTGTCTATAGAACTATCTGTGATATCTTTAGGAGTAATTTGTACTCTTTACTGTTCTGCAGTGAGTTTAAAGTATTATTTTATATTACTTAAAAAATATTATGATTTCATTATTCTATTATTATACATATTGTACATATTATTATTATTAACAAAAATAGACAATTTCAATTTTGATTTTAAATGGACTACTTCATGTGTTTTAATGAGGGACTCGGATTGTAGACTTATACGAACTTATATTGCTGAAGTATTACAAACAATAATTAAAATATTTCAATCGCACAAAGATCATTCAACTTCAGTTTGCCACGATGAGCAGATTTTGAATATAACTTAACTGTTATTAAAGTAATACACATAATAGTTAAAAGGAATTATCTCACAAATAATAAGGATATTTTGTTAGTCACCATGAGCAAACGGTATGAATTCATAATTACTAAATTAAGCCCCTTAATTAAATTTAACATAGCTTAACTTCTTAAAAGTTTAAAAACTGTTAGCATGCCGTATGTCTCAATGTTCACTAAGAACGCCGAAATATACATTCTAATTTATGTTCTAAATACATGTCTATCTTATATATGCCTAATTTGTGTTCACTATGAGTCCCACAATATTTTTCGCCAACATTGACTCAAATGCACACACGTTTACCTGAACGACGGTCCTACTTTCTCCGAGTTACCTCGATTTTGACTACGTCCAATTTTTCTCTCATTATTACGTATGTATCTAGCATTAATACTGGTATTACTTTTTAATGAATTAGTTACTTACTCCGCAAACCCAGGACAAACTTTGTAGTTCCTCTCAAATCGCCTATTTTTTTAAAAATATTATTCAGTATACAGTATTTACTGAGTAAAAAGAACGTTGTCATATTACCCATTGACAAAATGCGTCCTCACTTTTCAACTACAATAGTTAAGAGTAATGGTAAACAGTGCGCATGCGTTGCTATGGAGACCTCTGCTGTATGATAATTGCTTTAGACTTCTTTTTTTCACTTTTAATTTTGTTATGCATTAAGTTTGGAGTTTATTTTCAAGATACGGGACCAAAGAGATTCCATAAATATTTCTTGAGTTTTGAATAAAAGAGAATTTCAACATTTGAACGATATTATTGTTTTAAATTGAGAATCAGAAATTCTAACCTACAGGTCAAACTGGATCGTTTTCAATACTAATTAAGGTGAGTATTTCAAATAAAGAGGGTCCAAACTTATTGATACGAACCCAAAAGTTATAGTTGAAGCAAGAAAAAAAAACGATGCTAAGGCCTAACTAGGCTGAAAAAGCCAAAGAACGCAGACGGGAATACCTTAAGCGTTGCACAGAAACGGAAAAACGAAAGGATTCCGTTCGCAAAAGCAAGCATGAAGCCCGTCCCTTACAAAAGTACAAAGTGGTTGAAAAAATTGAACCCTACCGAAGAGCGAATGGTGGCTCTCTGAACCCCTTTCATACAAATACGAGAACTGGGTGTTGATCACTAGTTGGGTATGAAAGGATCCATTGTCAACGTACCCAATGACTTGCACAAAACCGTAGACTGTCTTCCACGCAATATAAATGATTCATTCACTGTTCACATAAAATTGAAAAAAAAGCCTAGCTTTCAAGTCATATTTCATGTATGAACTTGTGAATCCGAAACGGGTGTATTACAATCTCCTTCAAACACCATTGTATCAATCCGAAATTTTTAATTAAGATTTCGATTTTCTGTTCAATGTCTATTCAGTCATCAAAAGAATTTACGCAGAATGTGTCTGAGCAGCATTCAAATATGTCTGCGAAATTGTGTACCGAGCAGTTCAGGATTGACAGTTGAAGATGTCCAAGATGAAAAAGTTGCTTTTCCAAAAAAAATTAGACAATGGGTGACCTGCGATATCCTTGCGACTATCACAATTTTTATTTGTTTTGCTTTTTTAAAGAGCGAATTTTGATCCAGAAAGCTTGTTTCAAATTAAAAGTAATATCATACTGATGTTTGAAAACTATATACATGAAACAGTAATGCATATGCAGACACAATTAATGAATTTAAAATCATTCTAATTATTTCTCTATTTATTGTTATTTGTTACCCTTTACTGTGGTTTTATGTTATTAAATTAAGCAGAACACTTTTCTTGTAGTTCATTCTATCAGGATAAAAATTAACTTTATTTAGCATCATTTGGCCCGAAGATATTGTTCGCAGTCAACTCACGATTGTCAAACTTTACCACTATCATTACTAAGTCATTTTCTCCAGTACTTATCCCTTTTAAGGAAACTTAGCACACCGAATTTCATAGTACCTGCATTAAAACTGGCCTGTATTGGAGCAGTTTTAATTATTACTAAATATAACAATGGAATACTTTGTATGAATATTAGTAGATTTGAAACTGGACAACTGGACTTGAAACTTGATGCTTCGAAGCTAATGTTGATCATCGAATTCTTTGACATAGGCTTTGTATTTAATACTTAATGCAAAATAATTATTATGAAAATTTTCAGTTTTTAGTTTATAATTTTGTGAAATGAGTTTTTTTATGATATGAGTTTTTTTTAATCTGCATCTTTCGTCTTTTCTCAATTATCTACTCTTAAAGATAAGTAGCATTAGATTTCAAGTAGCATTAATCATACATACTTTTGATTAATTTACATTTCATTTTCTGTGGCTTCCATTTTTCTTTAGTTTGACTTGAAAACCTGCTCAGCAAAATCTTATTAAAATTATAATTTTGACGATAAAAACATTCATTGTCATATTTTTTACAGCATATTGAAAATTCTTTCTTAATTATTATTGAGGAATTTCTGAAACAATATATTAGAAGGCATTCAATTTAAAATAATGATTTGTTATGTTTTCGTGAACATGAGCATGTCTTTAAGTTTTTCGTTTATTTTAATACCCCTTAATACACTATCTGGCCATTAATGACCGGACAACCCTCATTTCGGATACATGAGGTGCTAGTATCAAGTCAGTAGTCACAGCTTTAACCCTTCTTGGAAGGCTATCCACTAGGTGTTGGTACACGGCGGCAAGCATTGCCCGCCATTCCTCCTGGAACAAGGCGAAGAGTTGAGTGATAGTTTTGGGGCGTTGTGGTCTGGCCCTCAACCGGCGCTCCAACTCATCCCAGAGATGCTCAATTGGATTGATGTCGGGATTTTGGGATGGCCAGTCAAGCTCTTGCACCCCCCATTTCATCAAACCAGTCCGTGATGGCATGTGCTTTATGAATGGCAGCGTTATCGTGTTGAAACACAAACGGGCCATTACCGAACTGTTGTCACAGGGTGGGAAGCACCGAATTGTCCAGGATGTCCCTATACCCTTCTGCGTTCAGGATTCGACGCACTAACACCAAGGGTCCAAGGTCAAACCATGAGAAACAGGACCACACCATAATTCCTCCACCGCCGAACTTCACAGTGTCCGGTCATTAATGGCTAGATAGTGTATGTGCTTGCAGTGAGTTAATAATATAACAGTCTTTTTTAATTACAACTATAATAATTTAATTAAATAAATAAGGAAAAAGATTAAAATGTGTGTATTTTTAGGGTGGTTTGAAAGCTGTTTTATGGACTGACGTTTACCAAGCTGCACTTATCCTGGTATGTTTAACCTCATTGTATATAGCTGGAATAGGAGACGCAGGTGGTATATCTAAAATATATAATCAAGCCAAGTCAGACAATCGATTGGAAATGTTTAAGTAAGCATGCAATATTTAATTTGTTTATTTTATTATGTGCTTCATAAATACCATTTGTATATATTTAAAATATAAAGAATTTTTAATGGTAAGAAACTATTGATACATAACTAACTTCGGTGTGCTTTTAACTAATACTAGTTTCTCACTATTACGATTCGATTCATTATGTTTAAGAGTTACATTTGCGATTCCAAAATTTTAATTAAAAATAAATTTAATAAGTGTATAATAAATATTACTGAAGGATCTAATTTCTAATAATGAGATTAAAATTAAGTTTTCAGTATCACTTTAAAATTATTTTTAAAGAAATATTATGAAATAAAGGAAAAAATGAATTAAATAGCAATTTATAATAGATACGGAATTAACTAAGAATTAAAAAAATATGCTGTATTTAGTACAGTCTGGTACAGTTTAGTACACAGTTTCTACTTACACTGGTGTGCAAAACTGAAGCAACAAGTGATTTTTAGTCCACAGCTCCCCAACAAAGTATAAGAGGGTCACGAAATTGCAGTATAATATGCATGTAATTCAGTAGAAAGATTATTTGTATCCAAATTTTAGAAATAAAACGTCGTAGGTGATGTAAGTGTACGTAAACCTTATGGGTAGGCGCGCGCAGGTCAAAGCTGTGATAAAAGGATGAAGAGCAAAGTAGTTAAAGACATTCGCTGCAAGTGAAAGTGATTTGTTTTGTGAAACTTGTCTTCAAGAAATCATTCAGATGACTTTACTCGAGGAAGAATGATTGGGAAGCTTGAGGAGGGGCGTAGTGTGACCAGTGTCGCCGAAGAGTTCGGGATCAACAAAAGTATTGTTAATGCCTTTAAAACTACTAGTACAGCTGTTCGGAAGGTTGGTGGTGGCCGTCCAAGGAAAACAACACCAAGAGATGACCGTTACATTGTCCTCCAGGCGAAAAGAAACCGTTTTCAGTCAGCGAGCGCCATATGTCAGCAACTGTGCACAGTCACAGGACGACAAGTATCAAGATTTACAGTGGCCAGACGCCTCCACAAAGGTGGCTTATTAGCTAGACGTCCTGAACGCTACATACCTTTAAAAGCTAGCCATCGGCGGCACCGTTTAGAGTGGTGCAGATAACACGAAACCTGGACACCTCATCAATGGACTCGCGTCCTCTTCACAGATGAGAGTCGTTTTAGTGCTACAAGCGATTCTCAACGTTAGTTGATCTGGAAAGAGGTTAGAGCTCGATTTCATTACAATAACTTCGTGGAAAGAGATCGTTACGGTGGTCCTGGAGTTGTCGTCTGGGGTTGCATTATGTAGAACGGGCGGACTGACCTTCAGATCTTCGACCGAGGTTCTGTAACTGGAGACCGCTACTGCAATGAGGTAATCCTACCCCATGTGCGTCTGTTCCGAGGGACCATTCACCCAAACTTCATTTTTATGGATGACAATTTCCGGCCACACCGTACTGCTAATGTTCAAGAGCTACTGGAAAGTGAAGATATCACATGAATGGATTGGCCAGCTTACTCTCCAGATCTAAATCCCATAGAGCATGTGTGGGATGCATTAGGGAGACGTCTTGCGACACGACAGTATCCTCCTGGTAACTCCCATCAGCTGAAAGATGCGTTAAAGGAAGAATGGAGACCTTTTCCCTTAAGAACTCCTGGATAATCTGGTGCTTAGCATGGAGAGACGATGCCAAGTAACAATTACAGTAAGGGGAGGGCATATCCCATTCTAGGGAACATACTTACGCTTCTTCAGGCAATCATGTGTAACGCCACTATATGTCAAATAAAGCCTTTTTTTGTTCCATACCCTACTTTAAGCTTCATATTCATTTCTGCGCCATTATTCTTTTACCATCGTTTAAGTACAAAATAATGTACATCATATTCAAATTTCATGTCAATCGGATAATTTCTTGTAGAGTTATGACAAAAAACGCACTTGTTGCTTAAGTTTTGCACACCAGTGTAGTTGCATATCTAGGTCGTGTTTCGGTTGTGCAGATGTTCATGTTATTTTTCATCATAATTCATAAGTGATCTAATACAATGGACCAAGAATGACATCAGGAGGTTTTGAACGATATTAAAACAATGTGGCTTTATTATTAAATATAAACACCATGGTTACATTTTGATATGTAACAGTATATGTTTATAACGAAATATCTTAGTATTGATATAATTTTAAAGTTATTAAATATAGTAGAAAACTGAAAACACTCGTCAAGACCATTTTATATATTGCAAAGAATTCACTCGCCATTGATGATTTTATAATATTTTACTTCCTAGACTTTATTTGATACAGATAACACTGCCCATAGTAACGGATTAGTTTTTTTAATCCTAATACACTACGCTACAATAAAGAGACACTTTGTGGTTTTGACATTTGTCGTAATATTTCAAAACAAATATTAAAAAATTATTTCATAACTTTAGAGATGTTTACTTCATACGATTTTTCATACTTAGTTATAAAATTTAAAGCTTTCAGAGGTTTTGGAGACTGACAATAAATTCCGAAAGAAAGCAAGTATTTTTGCAAATTTGAAGCAATAAAATAATAATCTTTGCAACCGTACATTTATCGACGAAATAAAATTGGGCGGTGATACCCGACATTCATGTTAGCGGGGCTACCCGAAATCCAATGTTTTGTGAATTTGTAACTACTCGAACAATTTTTCACATATAAACTTCTTTTTTTGTGCAAATTAAACTTAAAATTACATACTTTAATGCTGTATGTATAGAAAAAATTATTTTTTTAGTATTAAAATGAAGTTTAATCAAAACATTCAACCAATTTTTTTTTAATTTCATGACTACTGTATTCAACATATTTTCAAAACTATTGTTTACCATGTTACCAGCTGCATGAATACTTGAAACTTTGAAAATAATATTTTTTTAATGTAACAATTAATGTCCGATGGCCCATTGACTTGAAAAAATGTTCTATACATATGAAATTGACTGTGGGCGGGGGTACCCGACGCCTCCCTAATTTATTGTCTATGTCCATACCTCTGAAAGCTTAAAATCATATTGATAAGCATGAAAAATTGCGTGAACTAAACATCTCTAAATTTATTAAATAGTACTTTAAGTATTTTAGTATTTTTTGAGAAATTAAAGAAAATGTCGAAAACTCAAAGTGTCTCTTTATTGTCGAGTTGTGTATATATATACCTAAATATCTA